CTTTCAACTTTTGATAAAACTACTTAACATGCTCAGGTCTGGTTCGGTTGAGTTGTCGGCCTATTACCGGTCAAGCTCTGCGACTGTGTTTACTACTGCATTAGGGCTTCAGATGAACTCCTACAATCGATTCGATGGATCGCGCATTTCATTGAGTAAGGTGAGATATTCACCGAATTTGAAGATCGAATCCTCAAATGCTAACAACTAATAAAACTAACCTACTAATCATTGCTCTTGTAAAAAAAAAAAAGACTTCAGATTTTTATTTTTTATTGATAATGGATGTGCTCATTGCGTTGTTTCATATATCAAACTCGGTGATAAAGGAAACAAGGACAAAATGTTCTACAATTTCATAAACATCCGGTTTCCCTCATGATTAAGAGGTGAGAGGTCAGTGCAACTAAGCTAAATAAAAAAAGATAGCTCCAATTTGAAGGGATGAAGATGTTAGTGCTTGATGGTTAGTTCGGCCCTAAGATGGAGAATACCATTTATGAAGTAAATACTGTCTTCAGCCATGAAAGAAGTCCAAGGTATAGCAAATAAGTTCCTATAGCCGACTGCCTTGCCGCCGGTGAATGTGTAGTTGCCTTTGTATTTGCTGACAAACTCCTCTGTCGGCTTTAACCTTGCTGCAAATTCATAGTCCACTGCAAAACTCACTGAACCTTTTTCCTGCATTCCCAGGAACAACCCGAAGCAATGGAATGAGCTTTGCTGGTCCATGTTGCAATGTGCTGATAGGAAGAAACCTTGTCCGCCCAAGTGGAATGCTTGAGAGTATACTCTTCCTGAAGGGAACAGATTTGCGCACTCCTCTCTCTTCAAGTCGAGGTACACAACACACTGCTGGTGAGGAAGTTCAAACTCCACCACCTTAACAGGCCTATACTTGTAGGCTCGCTCCATAAAACGGTGGTTCAGGGTGGCAGACTCTTCTGCTGCCAAGCTTCTTTGCCTATGAGGAGCTTCAGCCTTGAAAAAGAGGGCCTCTAGCACAAGCTTTGATGCAGCTTCATGATCAAAATCATTACAGATTAAAACCTTCTTAAGCTTTCGGCAGGTCATATATGGGAAACGAATGAAGCGTGCAAGGCGTAAACCTAGCACTTCCCGTCGCTCTTCCAGTTTTGGATATTGGGCTCTGGCCCACTTCAAGACAAAGTCATACACAGCATCTTCTGATGCAATTTGGAGATCATCACTGGCTAATATTGCCTCAATGCCAGCCAGTGGTAATGCCATCACCTCATCTTGGAACCTGGTAAAATATGCCAAAGAACCCACAAAAATAAGCTTCCCAAAGCACTACATGCATAATTTTATTCAACTAGACAACAACAGATTTGGGTTTAAATCCACTGTGTAATCATAGTCTGGTGCTACTGTCACCTAGCAAGGGCGAATAAAAGATGAGATCTGGAAAGTTACATCATGCATGCCAATTTCTCATCACAAGCAGTTAACACAAATTGGACGTTAAGTGTATTGTAGGGAATAACTACTAAATGTTATTGGCAAGAAAAATCGAGTGTGGCAGATGAGAACTTACTTGGTTATGTCCTTATAACGGACTGCAAGGTACTGCCTAGCTGCATCAGTCAATGGCTGGACTGCTTCTGCCATTAACACACTGGAGGGAAGATCCAAATAAAGCAAAGCAGATTCAGGTGTCATAGGCAGATTCCGCAACAGCCGGCTGCAATATCTCATGCATGAAGCAACCTCAAATTTGTCTGCAGCCATCAGCACATCTAGCAAAGCTGGAGCTGTAGTGACAGATAAGCTATTGCTGTACATAAAATTCAGAAGCTCCATAAGGGCAGGTTCCTCTGTTCACAAAAACAACATAAGAAAAGTGAATATACTTCTCTAACAAATTTGCTTTTAACTCTCTAACACCATGAAAGGATGACCAAAAAAAAAAAAAAGATAGAATTACCATAACATGTTCTTTACAATTGTAGAAAGATTTACAATATTTTATTTTTAAAATATAAATAAATTTGTTTTAATTTCAATTTTGAGTTTTTTATGATACTTCATGAAAAATATATAATTTTGAAACACTTGCAGACCTTAATTTTAGAAATCTAACTCTCTTTTTTTTTCTCTTTCGAAACTTTATACATAAATTCAACTAATAAATACTAATTTCGTTCTTTAAAAACTGAAATCAACTACTAGAACAACCAAATCAAATCAATGCAACTTCTCAAATCTCAATCATTCTTCCACTCAAAATGTCTAAATGGTAAGAAAATAGCAAAAAAAAAAAAACAGCATTCTTTCTACATGAACCTAAAAGAAATTCAGAAATAGAAAGGGTATGAACACAAAAAACCCAAAAAAAAAAAAAGTGTTATTTGTCAAGGAGTGTAATCATGTTCAAGGGCCGGCTGTGTTCTTATCATTGATGCAGAAGGCATTTTGTTTCCCTTAATCCAAAATGTCTCAAAGGCCACACCTTTTTCCGATTCCTTCTCCATTTTTCTGATTCTCCACCGCCTCACCAATTTTACGACCAATACTCCGACCAGAATCAACGAAACCAACCCAATAAACCCAACTGGGAACCAAATCACCCACCACCTCCAAAGCCTCCCTTTCTTCTCCGGTGAAGCCGTTGGTGGAGAAGAAACAATGACTGGTGGAGAAGAAACAATGACTAGTGAATAATGCCCTGTCTCCTTGGTTGTGCACACGTTCGGCTGCGTCATGTTTCCCACGTACTGCACCGATCCATTATTGCCGAATTTAACGCATTGAAGCGTTCTGTTTTGGGCTTCCGCTGCGCCGGGGAAATGGATTGAAATAGGGTCGGCGGTTACTTTGAAGGCGAGCTCTTGATCGCCGAATGAGATTATATTAGAAGCGTCGTAGGCTTTGAATCCGATGACCGGCGCAACAAGGTTGTATCCAGATATTTGATAGTACTTGGAGGACAAGTTACCCAAATTCTGATACACCACGGCGATCCTCTTCACGGAAGGCGCCGTTCTAACCGCCGGCGGGATGGTCACAAAACCGATATTGGCTCCCTTTCTCCGGAAACCGCGGCTGCTCAGCCAGAGAGCGGAGGCGTTCACACCGGAGAAATTCGAAGGCAGGGGAACGCTGTAGAGAGTGCCTTTTCGGTGCATTGACAATGTCTGATTAACATAAAGACGAATCAAAGCGTCTAAAGCGATGGGATCGTAGTCGCCGGAGCAATAGACGACTGAGGATAAAGACGAAGAGAAGAAGACTACGAAGATGAAGAGCCAGACGCCGCCACCATTAGACCCCATCAAAGATCATTCACCACGACAGCCTCCTTCTTCCGCCTCTTTCTCTTGTCCAAGTTACATGGCAATCTCCAACGGTCAACCGTCCGGTATATTCAGGGCTACGTCGTTGCTCCGGTCACATGTAAAGAATCCAAATCAAACCCATGATGCATCAAGTTTGGAAAACTGAACCATACCAATGAAAATCGGAGAAGGTAACTCGAAAAAGTCTGGGAAGAAAGGTTTATTTAGAATAGGAGCAATCTGAGATGTGTTGAAAATTGTTATAAATGTTCGTCGGGTCGTTATTGGCGTGGCCTTGAAATTGGGGGCAGAGACCAGAGAGGGTGGTGAGATGGAGACTGGGGAGCTAGGTAGGATATTTCTATGAAAATAGTAATTTTTCCAAAATTTTATTTATTTTTAATTTCTTTTTGATCTTCCGATTAATTTCATATAATTTTAATTAATTTTGATTGATT